TCCTCCCTCCCGCCAGCCCTGCTCCCCTCCCGGGCAGTCCCTTCTCTCCCCCACCCCCCCAATCAAGTGTGTCTGGTATTTTTTCTGAAGCTACCTGGTAACTCTAGGTGCAGGAAGGAACAGGTGCAGGAGGGATCCAGTGCCTTGGGGAGGAGATGGGATGGATACGGAGCCCGGGGAGAGGGGCCGGAAGAGGAGGGGATGCAGAAGAGAGCCAGAGTCCTGGCAAGAGGGGACAGGAAGCCCATGCTGCTCAGCAGGCAGCCTGCCATATCGCTCTCATGCCTGCACTGTACACTAGTCTCCCAATTTCCAGTCCCAGGGCTTGTCCTGCCCAGACCTTTCTCCATGAGGCGCACCCCATGGAACTAGTGCTCGGGCCAGAGACCAGGACAGCAGCATGCAGTGCTGGCAGGAGAACATGCAGCCAGGTTGTTGATTTGGTGGGGAGGGGCCTCTGGTCCCGATTTGGGTGGGCACAGATTCAAAGTGGATGGGGCCCACCTATAGTTACACCCCTGCTGTCCATTGAAGACCCAGGCACATATTACTAAGCGCCAGCCAGTCGTATATCAGTATAAACTATGGCGTAGGTGATCCGCTCCTCCTGCCCTCTCCAGTCTTACAGGGCCATGTGCACGCGATATTGAATCACACCCCATGAGAGGACAGCACCACACTGTGCAGATTCATCACTGATTAATCCTCTTCACCCCCTGCTGAATGATGAACCAAATCAATGGCCAGCTACAAATTCTCAGTTATCACTTGGCTCCGTGCTGTGGCTGCTAGGAATTTCCACAGTGGCTACACAGATGAAACACCCGCTCCAAAAGTACAGGCTCCTAACTCTTAAGCTAAGAGAGACTCTCCATTAGCTGTTAGCAGAACCAGATCTAGGAAACACAGCTGAGCAGTTCTTTTTCCATCCACTGAAAGGCAGAGGCTGCACAAATCTATTCCCAGGCAGTGAATGTATTACAGTTGCAATTAAAGGTACCAAATGAGATCAAGGCCCCATTGCTTCAGGTGCTTTAGAAAGAGCATACAATCTGAATAGATAGGGCAGATAAAGGGGGTACTATGATCCCCATTTTACCATTAGAGAAACCAAGACAGAGGAATTCAGGGTGGATTTTGTAGAAATGCTCAGTGTCAGTTTAACTCTGTTCCCATTAAAGTCATTTGTAAAACTCCCAGGGTATGTCTACACTACCCTTCTAGTTCGAACTAGGAGGTTAATGTAGGCATACCGCACTTGCAAATGAAGCCCGGGATTTGAATTTCCCGGGC